GTTGGAGGCCATCGCTCTTAGGTTGGAGGCCATCGCTAGTAGGTTGGTTTATTAGAACATGAAGAGCAGTGCCCGAAACCTCAGACAATATTACCCTCTCATCAGAAGTTGTTCAGGCATCCGCAGCGAGGAAATCAACTGGAACACTAGCAAAAACGATACTGTATACATAATTATATAGTTTTCAGAATGTTAAACATACCAACACAGATTCAGTCAATTTTGCGCGTGAGATCTCGTCGTTTTGAGCTTTGGACTGTTTGACGTTCCACAAACTTCTGAAGCCTTGAGGGCTGCCAAGGCTCCAGTACCGCACCTCCTCCCATCGCTCACCCGCATGATGTCTGGCATGTTGTTGGGTACTTTGGATGAAATCGCCGAACCTTGATTGGCACAGAACGGCCTTCTGGAGCTTTGTGCACAAAACCGCCCAAGAGCGTCTGCAAAGGGTCGAATGCACGAACTTGCGCTTCCTTGAGAAACCTGCAGGCATGAGGAAGCCAATGCGGCAAAGTGACGGAAGGCCCCAGAAGTGAGAGATAAACCAATCCACTGAGCCACATCCAACCTTGCGAGCCCCGCTTGGTACAAAATATCGTGGCAATTACATGTTCTTTTCCAGGCTGCAGAAAGATCAGAAAGGGCTTTCCCATGGTCGCTACATGTCGCTACTGCTCAACCCCAGCTTTCTTGCAAGGGGGCGAAAGAAATGAAACACAAGCTTACTAAGCAAATCAAAGTGCGAGTTCAGCAAAAGAGACTTCCTTCTCTTGCGTGAGTGGCTTCACGATGTTTGGACCTTTGTCAAGATGGAACTACGCAGAACAGGCAACTGACCCTGCCGACAGTTTACCAATTTGGGAAAGTACATGTTCATTCCTGCTTGGACACTTGCAAATGGATATGTAGCCATAAAGCACAAAAATGCCGGTTCAGTATCGGTGTTTGAATACCACGCTTTTGGAATTTGAACATGCACATCGAAGTCAATGGGTTAATTGTGTAATATCCCTGTCACCAAGCTCACAACTCCCACATGAACACAAAGAAACTGCCCACACACTGAGGTCGCGACATACATAGTACCTGCACTGCATCAATTCTTCTCAGTGGCTTCAAACGCGCAACATGTGATGAAGATTCGAAGAGATGAACATGTTGAACCGAACCTACACTTCTTGAATCGAAAAGTACCAAATGAATGTCCGTATTGAGCCAAGGTACATAGTTCTTCGCTGAAGTATGGGCCGGAAATGTTCCTCAAGCCGACCGAGTTTCCCTGCACTAACAGATCGTCGGGGCCCAGGAGGGCAACGGAGTGGATTGGCCGGCACAAGTTTGACCTTGTATGCATCAAGCAAAGTCCGCAGAGGAGTCGTAGCATCACGCCTCCTTCCCAGCAGCCGCAGCACTCCAATTGCCAGAAGGTCAAGCGAAAAGGTAACGATGAAATACCACCAAGGAATGTCGATGAGCAAAGCCATGGCAATCATCCCTGCAATGGATACACCCATCCATATGATGAGTGGAATGCCCAAGAAGCAACTCCCAAAGGCTTCTGCGAAGGGACGGGGCCGTAAGCTCCCGATGGATGTCTCGCTTGGCTTGCACAACAAGAGACCAGGCTCAGCATAGACTCGCATCTGTGTTGGAGATGTCTTTTTGACATATAGAATTGGGGTGGTCTTGTCAGCCACGTCGGTTGAAGGCTTGTCCAGCCACGGAACGCCAGTCTCTTCAAAGACCACTGCGATCAGCTTGGTGCCAAAATTATGTTTCCTCTGTGTGGTGACAATCACCGCTTCGTCAGTGTGCGACCATGCCACGTCAGCGATGTGACGTTGAATTCCCCAGAAGTACGGCAACAGCCAAAGAGCAAAAGCTGCAAAGAACAGGAAGACAATCGCGCCTGCAAGCTTAGCCCAGGAAGGAACACAGCCAGTGCGCTGCTGGTTGGGTTTGGTGAAGCCACGACAAGGTTGGCAGCCCATCAGCGAGGTCTTGCTGAAGGAGTTTGCAGGACATCTGCTGCATGAGGTCCCATCCGTGGAAAAGCCTGCGGGACATGGTTGGCAAGAGGTCTGGCCAGTGGTGTGTTGATAGGATCCTGGGTCACATGGATGGCAGATTGCATTGCCTGTGGTGGCATAGGTGCCCTGAGGGCAAGGCCAGCAATAGGTGGCATCTCTGCTTGGCACCTTCCCTGCTGGGCATAATTCGCAAGCTGCCATGCCATAGGTAGTTTGGTGCATTCCCTGCTTGCAAGGTTGACAAAAGCCGGAGCCATTGGAGAACATCCCAGGTTGGCACGGCTGGCAAGCATCGTTGCCAGCTGCTGGCTTACCCAGGCCAGGCATACAAGGGCGACAGTGTAGAGTCTCAGTTTCTCGATCAAGAGTTGGGTCTGTCCCCGGAGGGCATTCGCCGTGACTACAATCCTCAGCACGGGGTGCTTCTGCACTGCGGTCACTGAAAGAAGTATTACCAATGGCCTTTGGCGTTCAAACCGCGCTTTACATGAACATTGAAAACAACAAGATAGAACAAAACAAGATGGGCAACTAAGTAGCCTCTCGACTCGTGTGACTCCAATCTGTTCAACGACTGTTGCAAAGTCCGCTTAGCAATTTTTGCATGATGCTTGGCATGGTGTTGATCGCGTTGCTTGCGGGTGCATTGGTGCATGTTGAGTTGAAGCATTATAAACGGGTTATTTACAGTACAAGTGCATCTCTAAATCAGGATTCAGTCAAAACAACTGTCTATCTCTCCTCAGTCAGTCAATGTCTATATAACTATGCCTGGTCGAGCATCCACACCAAAGAAACCGGTATTGCACACACAGCTGCTGTTGCCAATGCCGCGTCTCTCTGGCTGGAGGAATGAGAACCTCAGGGTGGACTTGCAAAATTGCCCTTCATCATTCTTTCAAACCTGGGATCGTACCAGAATACATCCACCTCAAGATTCGAAGAGGGGTTGGCCCTACCGATTTCATAGAGATCATAGAGGAAATTAATATGGCATCAATATGGGGATGCAAATGAATCCTTGTGCGCAAAAGTAAGAACAAGTAAGTCCTGGGAACTTGTCGTCAAAGCACTGTCCCTTCCCACTGCACGGGCCAGCAGCTGAACCGACACCTGGGCAGGGATGGCATTGGTGTCCAGTCTGTGAGCTTCTGGAAATAGTTGAGTAGCCGGCAGCACATCCAGAGCCTGACAGCATTGGAAAAAATCCTTGCCACATCAAAGGATGCCAAATGCATCCAACAAAGATTCGGTGGCTATCAATACGTCCACTCTACATCTTATGAGAATCTGAAGAACCTCCCATTGGCCAAGGCACAATCGTTCCTGTCATGTCCGCGTGCGCACTCACAAGCTCCCATATGGCAAAAGCCTCCATTGACAAAGCAAGCGTCTGGGAGCTCGCACCCACCAAACTCGAAGTAGTCGAGCCCAATCGAACCCACAATGATTTCCAAGTCATCATCCCCGTCCCAGTCAACTGCCATGGGGTATGAATAACCACCTTGTATGCGTGCATCCAGTTGATCCTGGTGAACGAAAACCCCTGTAGAATCCTGTCGCCAAATGAATATCTCGCCTGCGCCCCTGCCCACAAGCAACTCCAAGCGACCATCGCCATCAAGGTCAGCCAGGGTCGGATTTTCAACGTTTCCCGCCAATACAATGGCTCGGAAAGGGTTTTCATCATATGACACAATGTGGAATTCACTGTTTTCTTGCAATGCAAGCTGGATTCCTAGAGTAAAGCGAGTTGGAATTAGGACCATATCCCAATCCCCATCATCATCCCAGTCAACCACATCACCGCCAAACACAATGGCAGAAGGAGGCAAAAGTGCTTTGGGCGCAGCCAGCTGGTCGCCAATTCGCTCAAATAAGAAAACACCGCGTACGCAGAATAAAACAAAATCCGTGTCTCCATCGAAATCCCAATCGACAGTTCGGAGCACCCCAGGGAAGCTTGACTCGACTGTGCCTATCATCTTCAAGGACTCAGTGTCCGGTTCCAGTGCAAGATGACCATCTGCTTGACGTAAGAAGAGGTTGGCGATGTCTGTCAAAACGATGAGATCCAACCGACCATCCCCGTCCCAGTCCACAGCAGCTGTTCGTCGAGGTGTCGTCCCTCTTGGGCGCAGAAAAGCCAAGGGGTTTTGGCTCTCCTCAAGCGGTTAACGCCAGGTCACTTCCTTCAACATCGTTTGTTTACCCATGACTTCTCCAAGAAGCCTTGGCCTAACACTCATTAACACTAATTACCAGGGGGAACAACTCACAAGCAACCCCATCCCAGTCCCGCACGCTCAGCCCAAGTCCCATGTGTGGCACGGGCTTGTGCTGAAAAATCATCAGCCGGCCGTCAGAATCACCCACCACTAGATCAGCCACTCCGTCCCGGTCTATGTCACCAAAGGCTGGGCAAGGATTTGACAAAAGAAGCCCTGTATCGAAAGGGTCATTCCGACCCTTGGCATGGTAGAAGGTGCCATCATCAAACTGTTCCAAGAACCACACACGACCCAGGGTGCCAACCAGCAAATCCAAATCCAAATCCCCATCGAAGTCGACCAGTTGCATGCAGCGGGGATTCATATTGACACCACTGCCACGCATGAGTGACACGTCCACATACGAAAAAGGTGATGGCTCAGAGACCAGCTTCCCACCCTTGTTGGAGAAGTAGAGAATGCCAGACTCATTCTTCTGTGGAAATGTAATTGCCAAGTCGAAGTCACCATCTCCGTCCCAATCAGCAAAGGCGGGGGCCACACCACTCTCTACATGGATGAAGCGAAAAGGGTGCTCTTCCTCAGGCAAGAAAGAACAATAGAATCGAGCAAAAGAGTGGGCAAAGAAGAATTTTGTATAGTATAAACCCAGCCTACAATCAACTGAGCACGGATCTGCTTCAGGAAGAACCATCCCTCCAGCTTCACCACGAAAAAAGGATAAGGTGCCCTTGGCACTACCAACCACCAAGTCGAGATATCCATCGAAATCCCAGTCCACGACAGCCGGTGCTGCTTGCGACCCCACCTGGCGGTCGAACTTACTTTCGCTTCGGTAGGTGGCAGTAGCACAAGGTTGTCAGAACCCTTCGGAAGCAATAACCTGCATCTGCCTGTCCTAATTGGATACGTGTTCAAACATGCAGGCTGCACATCAACGTGTTGAAAGGGGTTGTCCAAGTCATTGGTTGGATGGAAGGTGCCATTCTGCCACGGAAAGTACCGCACTCTTCCATCAGCACTCCCGACCTGCACGCCCGGCGTCCAAACTCTCCCATCCCTCACACAATGACTGTGCTCCTCTTCGCTGTTACAAAACGTAAACTGCAACAAGAAAAGATTCCAACAAAAAGCATGGGAGAAAGGAATCATTTCAATCTCTTATATGTCCAAGGAACTACAAGGTCTAAGTGGCCATCAAGGTCCCAGTCAACCAGAACAGGCGTTGCATTCGCACCAACATCAAGGTGGTCAAGTGGACTTGCTGGGTTCATCAAAACCACGCTTGACCTGAGTGAAACTTGGTGCTCTTTGAAAGCCTGAGTCCCTAAGTATTTCCACAAATTGTGGACTTTGCAGGCAACAAGCCGCAAAATCAACAAGTTAGAAGGACATGCAATGCCCACTTGTGAACAATGCTAAACCTCATGTTCTCTCAGCTTCAAGCCACTTTGACTGCTAGTCTATCTGGTTGTGAAGAACATGGCAGTCTTAGCAACTTTGAAGCTCGAGGCACTCATTGCGGCGAAACCTGTAAGGTGTTTCCTCCAATGTGCGGGCAACCAGCAAATCTGGAGCACCGTCGTGGTCCCAATCACAGGCTGCTGGAGAAGCAAAGCTGCCCACACCCAGGCCGCCAAACTCGTTGTCAGAACCTCGACTACAAATCCGTGTGTGCTATGTGGAGTCGAAGGTCAAAGCATGTTCATATGCCTTGCTTTGAGTGCGTTTTGCAGATTTAGCATCTGCCAGGCGAAGCCTTGTAATTGCAGTGGTCAACGCCATGACCAATCGACCATCTAGCCAAAGGGCCGAAGGAAGGTTTCCGAGGACCGGACACAGATTCTCTTTATTGCATCTTGTAACACGTATTGCAACATTGCAGTACAGACCCAACCCCGAAAGATCCAAGAATCAACATAAATGGATAGCTCCTGACCAAGAAACACTGTAGTTCATTCTTTGAGCTGCAAAGGTGGAGCTTGCCCTCAGGCAGCATATGAATCATGCAAAAGGGTCATCACAAATGTCTATTGTTTGCCCTTCAAAAAGGTTAGTTTGTTTAACCGCATGGGAAGTAAGAAAAGTAAGAAAACAAGGGCCTCCTTGTCTCCAACGATCACATCGGGGCGGCCATCGCCTCATGCTCAGTCAGGTGCGACTAACTCCGGGAAACATGTGGAACCTTGTATATAAACCCAAGTTTTGGTTGATGGTGCAAGGGTATGAAACAAATAATACAAAAACAATGATCATCTAATGCCGCAAGTCTCCATCCCAGTCCCAGACTGCGGGGACTAAAGAACATTCGACGTGTGAAGAATGTGCGAGAGAAGGGCATGCACCAATGTTTGCAAATAACAATGTCTGTGACTTCTCAAGCGAGCCATCTGCTGTCCCAAGAAGGATGTCCACCTGGCAGCCGTGAGCCAAAACCAAATCCGGATAGTTGTCCTCCAGAGTCTGTGCAAAATCCAGAAGGCTAGCCAATCAATGCACAAATTCTAATGTTTGTTTCTACAAATGCATCTATTTGGTCCTCGTTCCAAAATGTCATTGCTGGGGCGGAGCAATTATATCCTCTGACTGCAGAGAATGGCTGTAGATCTACTAAAAACGCCACTTCTCCATCACCAATGCCTTTGAAGAACCCGAGGCTGCCATCCTCACTTCCAATCAACCTGTCTGGGAACTTGTGACGACACAGTGGTGCAAACGCGAGCCCACAATCAATCAACATGGGGGACAAATCCTAGGAAAGGCAGAAAGGCCTGGCTGAGTTCTTCCAAGCAGCACATCCAAATGTCCGTCTGCATCCCAATCAAAAACCGAGAACTGCGGCCGCATACCGGAAGAATTCCCCAAGTCAAAGGACTTTTCTGAGTCCGCCCATGCAACCCTCAGAGTCATGCCATTGCCCTGCCTCCAAATGTACTGAGACCCCTGCACCACCACTCCATTGTTGGATAGTGTTACCTTGAATTGTTTAGTCCATTAGTTGAAGGGTGTCTGCACAAACTGCACTTTGCTCTCCATATTATATTCAGTTTGTTTCCCTACAGTGTAAGGACAAGTAGAATTATTCCACACAATTTTACGAAGGAGACTCAGTGGCCCTGAGCAAATTCACATCCAGCACAGCAAACGTCAACAGCTGCAAGCAACAATCATCATCAAACAGCCACATTAGGAGAAACAACACAAAACATAGCAAACCCATCCCTGCTGAAATCGTGTAGCTGAAATATGCACTCAACCATCCAATGAGACGACAACGACGACAACTGTCAATCATGGTTGCCCGGTCATCTGCAACGTCCCATCAAAGGTCATGTTTTCAAGAAAAAGTGTGGATACTATCACTAGTCACTATCCAGACATGGAAACAAAAGTGTACCGCCTTGAAATTGGCCCATCCACTTAGAGAACAGGTCCAGCAGCAGCTATCCATCCCAGAACTCTGCAGTCAGTTGCCCTTGCTTCCCACACGGAAACCAACAAATATACATCTGGAGATACATGCCACAGCACCGCGCACTAGACGGCCTCACCGGCACAACCTTCCGGAAAAGTATTAACAAAATCTCGGCAATTGGAAGTTGATCACAACAAGAATCTCACCACACATTGCACTTGTCAAAATCAAAAGGCAAAGGGCAAAAGCAAATTGGTGCCATGTAGTCAGCAGTGTCAGCAGTGAGCTATTGCAAGCAGACTCCCAGAACAAACCGACGCAGGCAACATATCTAGGTCGCAAAATCTATTTGGCAGCTAGCCGTCAAATGCTAAACCAGGTCAGACTACAACGGGCTATCAACCACAGCCCGAAGTCAATCGACCCGCAGTTCAGGCCCGGCCTGGGGCCCGACTCCGAACATGTGCTTGCCAGCCAGAACGAACCGGAAGAGCGCCGGAACAGCAACCATCCAACAACAGAAACCTGCACGCCTGAAAGAGGCTAGCAGCGCAACAACCCCCAAACGCAACCAGCAGCTGAACCCGCATGTCTGCAAAAGGCAGCCAAGCCAGCCTGGCGACCGGAAGTATGATCCAGAAAGCGTGAAGAGCAGTGGCGCCACACCAACTGATACAACACACAATGTAGAATCGGACTGCGATCCGGCGAGGCCATGTTAGCATGTTATATATTCATGTGGGTTTAGAATGTTCAAAGGGATTTGACATGATGTGACCCCTGTCCTACACCGTGAGGCACAGATTTGTTGGTTCCTTTTTCAATTTGGAGTGACCCTGCACCCCAAAAAACCTATCTCGTGCGCATATCAGCAAGGATGCGATCTCCAACGTGCCATCGCCATCCCAATCCGCCACGTCCAGGCTGACTGGGGTCTTCGGAGAAGGTGGTTTTGGACCAAAACGTTCCCAGAGTCGTCCTGTGCAGCGGCCCTGCTGGCGTTGACAATAGGAGGACGGTGGGCCGTTCATGAGTTCGGCTTCATCACGCAGCATATCAGATCGAGTTGCGTAGCAAGAGGAAGTACCACTCACACTCTTCGCGCCAAATTGCAACTTTGCACTTGCGTCTGCCAGGTGGCAGCTCGTGTCTGCGAACCAAGAAAAGCCAGCGCAACGCGGAGTCCTGAAACGTGCACGACTCCACATGGAAACCATGCACAAACACTGAGCGAAAGGACAGCGGCTCGGCCGTCAAATCAGAATTCCAACCCTGGTCCTTTCACACAATTCATAGCATTCTGCTGCTGACTGGACCTTGCTTGGTTTGATGCCCAACATGTCAACTGGCTTGTAATTGGAGTTCCTCTTGCACGCTGTCATCTTCCTGCAACAAGCAGAAACAGGATCACCGTGAACCAGAGTTGCATTTGGCACGCGTTCGAAGCCGGCTGGGCAGTGAACGCTCCTGCACATGCGCTGACAGCCTCGCATCTCAAAGCTGGGTACCATGTGCTACATTGTGCTACCATATATTTTGTTTTTCTCCAGAAACCTCAATCCAATTCTTTTCCCAGACTATCGTTTTTTCATACTTTTCCATCTTCAGTCTTCAGCGAACGCCAAAAGGTTGGATGCCTTCGGTTTCTTGACCGTAGCAAGTAACCCACCAAAAGAACTATAAACAACACAAACAACAATCAAAGGAAGTTTGTTAATATGTGGGACTTAGTCACAGGCATGCTGCTGTTGTGCTCCGAGGGCGGGCATCGTGGTGGCTTCAAGCACCACCTGGTCGACACAGCCAACCTTTTCGCAGAACTCCATCCACCAATCGGGATCATGTTGATGCACAGGCACTGTTACAATCTCTGCTGCATTTGTTCGCTTCGTGCTCCCTGGTTCACAGGTGACAAATTCGCAGGAAGTTTGCAAGATGCAATATTTCGAGAAGCTGCTTTCTCTGAGGGTTGCATTGTACCCGCGAACTTCCCAACCAGGCTCAAGCATGGCTTCATAAATGCAGCTGTTGTTGGAACTTGCCTGAGTGTGGTGAGCCGATGTACGGTGATGTATATAAGCAGCAAAAAATGTGATCCACGGCCAAAATATGTTACTTAATAAAAACACATCAGGTTTTGCTTTGGTCAGTGTCAGCCTTTTCATCGTTTTCAGGTTGTCTATATATTATACACTGGGGTGCCAAAAGTTGCGCTTCTTGACTTCTAAAACTCACAAACCCTTTCCCCTTAGAATCCTACGTGCAACATGTCGACACCTCAGTTGCGGTCAGATTTCCACACCTGAAAGCCTTATAACTATTATAAATTAAACGGGTGTGGAAATCTGACCGTGCTGTACCTGCCACGCAAAATGGACGTGTTAATCCGATCCGCTGTAGACCACAAGTGTCATGTTGGAACAGAGTAAGAAGCGTAAACTTTAGGGTTCTTGAAGTATATATATATATGTATGTGTTCTTGTTTTGTTACTATCTTTTCTTGGTGTGTATTATCGTTGTTCCGCTATAACCTGCACTTTGAGGTCCCACGTCTGTCTTTACTTGTGTATTCCGTAAATTTTGACCGTACCCCATGCCAGAAGAAACATGATGGCACGACGGGCCGAGTCGCAGGCACGATGATGCAAGGCTCCTTTATGTCACATTCACCCTGATGCAAAACCCAATGGGGAGCTCCATTGGCCAACAAAAAAAGCAGCACAAGGCGCTGCATGTGCGAGGTTCCTGACCCGTCAAGCCCTCGTTTCCAGTGCAAGAGCTAGGTACTACTAGTAATGCAAGGAGCTACTAGTAGCTTCTTGTTACTAGTAGTAAGGCCAGGAGCCCCTAGTAGCGTCCTTGCTCCTAGTAGTAAGGCCAGGAGCTACTAGTAGCGAACATTGTTGCTAGTAATAGGAAAAGCCGAGCCGTACCCTTTGACATCAGTTCTTTGGAACGATCAAAGCACTGACCTCAAAGAACATCGAAGACCACACATGTGTTGAGCGCTTGCGTTTTCGAGCCAAAAACTGCATCAATGGGGATTGGATACATGTCAATGTCACTCTCTGCTCAATGTTACCATCGAGTGCATGGCGGTCCAGGATGTTGTCTGGGAAGCGAATGAACTTCACCTGATGTCATCTCTCAGCGCATCATTCCATCCGAAGATCTTGGTAAAAATGTAAAAGCAACTGTACTTAGCTGGTCTGCACCCCATGGTGTTGCTTTTACCGAAGCTTTGAAACGTGTCTGTGTGTGTGTGTGTCATCTCAGATGAGGCAAGCACAAACTGTCCTCGAATTGTGCACTCCTTCATGTGCTCAAACTTCTGCTCAAGACGCGGCGTGAAAACTGCGTCCTGATTGAACCACTCCAAGTAAAAATACCAAGTATACCAGGCACAGAAAGAACGAGAGCCACTCTTCACAATGCATCATCTTTGCCTCCAAACGAATGTTCATAAAGTTGTCCACAGCGACCTCACATTTGGCAGCCATTCAGTCTAGGAGCAAGGACGCTACTCCTGGCATCACTACTAGGAGCAAGGACGCTACTAGAATGCCGTTCAGTCTAGAATGCACAGCCACGCACTCCGTGCGCAAGCCAGTCTCTGGGGATGACGCCAGAGTTCCACTGTAAGAGTCGCCATTCTTCAGCTCCACCAACGCCGGCCTTGCGTTCTTTGCAGTTGATTCATGATTCATACACATCAGCATTGCAAAAACAACACACAGCAACGGTCAAAGCAAGCTATACAGCCAAAATGTTGATCATGACTGTGCAAAGTTCTGGGGAAATCACCCATGGCTTGCTGATCTCAACACTGCTTGCGGCAAAACCATGGGAATCGCTTTCAAAAAGGCGCACAGCGGAAGCTCATGGATGAAGCCTAAGTCATTCAATTGAATACCTTCGGACTAGACACGAGTTGCCTGTGCATGTCTCATGATCCAAGTCATTCCTGGCAATAGAAATTCTGCTGCTCATTGTCCCTTTATTGGCATACTTTATTGCTTTATGGCTCTTCCCTTGCTCTTGTGTATGCCGGCAAGTGCCTTGAAGAAAAGCGGGAAGAACTAGCAATGATCGGCAATCTTGCTTACCCAGCAGTTTGACAAACTAGCTCCTTTTGTGCTCGAGGTCGAGATGAAAATTGGAAGGCGAGGGCTTTGCGAAAAGGCATTGCCCATCAGCCAATTGCAGTGAATCAGAATACAAACCCACAACAAACAGTCCAGGACAAAAACCCTTGAAAAGCACCGACTTTACCGATAGTTTCTTACAGAAAGTTGTGAGCCTTGACTCAACTTGACTGATACTATACTTGCTGCAACAGGCTGGGTCTGATCCTTCGTTGTGAGCGCTAGCTCCTTGCCACCATTCAACATATTGGAAGTGAGACTGCCCGCACCTCTCGAGCCAACTGGTTACCTGCAGGTGTTGCATGAGTAAGCCAGGCTAAGGAGGGGAGAAGAGATACAAGTAAGGCTACGGAGCTATTGCAAGGATTTGCAAAGCATATTCCTTTTTCAAAGAGTGTTGTTGTTCCCTGAAGCGAGCCCGGTGGCAGCAGTTAAGACAAGTAAGATGAGATTGGGTCAAATTAGGTTTAAAAAGGCTGACTCACGAATTGAAGATAATTGAAGTGAGGCAAGGGTAGCCAAGAGGGAGATCAGGATGAGGGATGATGAGAGTAAGGATACACTTGCTTCCCAGTTGCCAACCATCATCTTCATCCACCTTAGCCTTCTTAAGCTTCGTCACCTTGAAGAACTGGAGATATGCACCATTCATCTGGTCTCGATGGCCGACACCAGCCTCTTCTTCACTGATCCCTTGAGCCCTCCTCATGCTTTCCAGCAATTCCTGCACGTTGCACATCGTGGCACACACACACACAAAAACATGTGCAGGCAAGGCTCACACATTGTTAAATCATCGGCCGTGCCTTCTGCTTGGAGGATTCATCATCTTCAACATCTTCCATGCCTCCCATTACTTCTGTTGCATGGCTTGTCATTGCTGTGTGTGCGTGTCACTGCACGTGATCCTTTGTTTTGTAGAGCCTGCATCTGCACTCAGCTGGGCTTTGAGGCTTTCGCTTACGTTCCCACGCTCCTCAGATTGACCAATCAATGTTGTTATGTGGCACTCAATCCACGCTGTGGCGAGATCTCCTGGGAAGCTGTTCCAGCAACCTCAACTGCCCTTGCAAATGCGATTCCCACTCCCAGGCCTGCCATCTCAGGCTTTAAACGTTTTGCAAACTGATCATTCCACATCTTTCGTGCAAAACTGGCCTGCTATTGAAGCTAGGATGGTTGGGATGATCACTGGATTGGCAACATCGCCGTCATTCCCTGCAGGTGTAGCGCTCTTCAACCGACATCGGCAAGCGCAACCGACATCGGTCGCTGGGACAGAGACTCGCCACACGTGGTGCCCGGTGGTGGTTGACCGAGCCTGGCTATCTGATCGAAAAATAGCGAGAAAAATTGCAGTTCCAACACCCCGCCTTCCACCCATCTGCCTGCTGACGAGGAGTAGCTGGGCGACACGATCTTCTCTGGTCTAAGGGAAGCTGAGGCATTCTTCAGGGCTTTGCAACTTCAACCACTCAACCACTTACTGTATAAAAAGCAAATGCTGTATTTCATTGGGATCCGGTCAGGACTGTTTCAATGAGGCCACCGCGTACCAAGAAAGCCGAGGCCAGCATACGTCAGAACCTGGTCAATTGAGGTGTGGCAGAGGAGAGGTTTCTCATATTTCCACACATATCGATCAAGGTACCACCAGGAGAGCACTAAGCCTTCGTGACTTGCCTGACAGCCACTCGATGAAGACTCTTGTATACTGTGTTCATTATTTTCGACCTCGTAACCATTCTAAAGAAAAACAATACGACATCATGTCAGCCTTGCCAGGCAAAGGCTTTCATCTCAGCTTTTCCTGGACAGCAAAAACTTCAGGAATGGAATGCCTAGGATTGCCCATCTTTTAACATTAACATGCTGGTCTTTTAGCAAGGAATCCCAGTGATGCTGACGCCTCCCAGTCTTCTGTGGTCGGCGATAAGCTACGTAAGCCTTGAGCCGAATGAAGGCAGTGTGCACTGCATGCCTTGAGAGCAGAAACAACAGCGAGGAGTCTCTTTGCAAAGTCCGGGACCAGGAATGTGAGGTTTTCTTCAACTTGTCAGTATATACATTCAAGATTCAAGAGACATGCAAATGCTAATATGCCCATTGCCCGAATCGATTGAGCACCCAGCGGCCCAGCGATTGAACTCCTTTAGGGTTCTTGGGCTATAGCCTATAGGCTATAAGGTGTTCGTTGACAAGCTGTGAGTTGTGTTTCAGGAGGTAAATGTTCTTGTTTATACTAGTAACAGGTGCCACGCTAGTAGTAACAGGTGCCTTACTAGTAGTAACAAAAAGCTATTAGGAACAAGTGCCACGCTACTAGTAACAGGTGCCTTACTGGTAGTAACAAGAAGCTATTAGAATTAAAATATGCAGTGGGTGGGAGACCCGTGCAGTTCTTGATTTCTGCGTCTGCAGGAAAGTCAAGAGGCCTGCGGCCTTCATTGTCAAAAGGGCACACCGACCCAGAGGTGCTGGCGGTGTTCATTAGGCTTAAGGGGCATGGAATTGATTGATATTGATTGGGTGACATGATGCAAAAAGAGAAGAGAAGATAAGATAAGAGTAGAGAAGAGAAGAGAAGCGAAGGGAAGGGAAGAGGAGAGGAGAGGAGAGGAGAGGAAACGAGAATGAGAACGAGATGAGACAAGAAGAACGTTTGATGAGAATGATTAAACATGAGGTGACACGAGGTTTGGTCAGTCAGGGAAATGGTGAAGGCACAGCTGCTCTCTTGTCTTGCTTTTCATTTTGCCTCTTGCTGGCAGCATAGCTGCGAGCGCGCGCCCACCCACAAAACACCTGTCACAGCCCCGCCAATGCGTTTTGAAACAACGAGTTGCAAACCCACAAAGCACTGCGTTCCCACAAAACGAATCAAACATGCAACGCGCAAGCCTGCAGGCTGCAGGACATGTCGGATTTATCCTGATGTCTTTGTGTAGCAAAGCAGTCTGCACCTGGCCATCACAGAATAATTTCCTTCTCCAGCCCTGCAATCATCAATCGCGGTGCAAGGTTTGACAATCCAGACAGCGACCCTCTCAGGATGCTTTTGTCCAAGCTCCTGCCTGTCCTCTCGCTCCTGTGCTACTGATTCCCAGAAGGAGCGCCCCACATTTGTGTTGAGGCCAAGACAAATCATGAGAATCTTCAAAATCTAAGTCTTTACGTGGCCGTTGTGCACATTCCACGCACAGTCCTGCATTCCTATCCGCCCTTCAGGTCGGACAAGTATGCATGATGCAACAAATTCAAGGCTAGCGGCAACATGGCCGGCCAACCACAGTCAACAGTTCGTCTGTCTTGGGGACTGAGCCATCGTTGGCTCTTACAGCTCAGCTGATATCGTGTCGTGCTTCTTTGCCCGATCATCTCCATGTGCGATTGCCAAGGCTGCTGCATGGTACTTGTCGTTTTGATTCAAGGCGTAGGAGGAAAGGATGTTTGATCGTCGACACTCCTGGATGCAAGCCTCCCATGTCGCAGAGTCCCCCTCAGCCGCCTTCTTCTTGCAACAACAATCCTTGAGAGCAAAAAGGATTGGTGACAAGAAGGGCTTGAGAAGGAGCTTGTAGAGCCAGAGGAGAATGTAGTACACACAGAAGACCAGGAAGATGCAAAAAATGAGCCAGCACCCCTCTCGAGCCATGTCCATCATTCGAGCTTCATAGTATTTCCACTGCAAGTCCTTCTTCAGCTTCGCTGGTGCAGAGAGGTACTCAGAGGTGACAGAGTAGTATTCATCCTTCGAAAAGAAACAAAGGTGATCACATGTTATTATATAGTTATATATCATCACTCCATGAAATCCGATACTGTGTCATTACATTTAAAAGGCTCGGCTGAACAAAGCAATGACATTAGAACCTATGAGCCATGTCCCTACACAGTTCCTAGCCTCAGACAAGAACAGCATCTCTGCCACCACGAGTAAACTGCTCCAGTTGCTAGGTACCACGGCTTGGTTTCCATAGGTCCACCCGGCAATCACCGTGTGAAGGAAGGCAGCAAGAGGCAAGAAATTGCAACAGACATTGAGAATGCTCTGGTTGTATGCAGGTGGTTTCGATGAGCCTCTGAGCAAACACCATTTGTCTAACCAATAGGCGACGATGCTGTACACAAAGCCCACGAAGTACAACAAAGGCATTCCACCAGAATAGGTGCAAATGACGAAGATCACCGTCAGGGTTTGAGCCATCCTCAAGGACAAGTTCCAGGGCGGAAGCACGTACATTTCGTTCAGGCGTGCCTGAACGACTTCTCCACGGGCGACCAAGCAGGACAAGCATGGCTTAACGATGAAGGCCATGATCAGAGGTGGCACTGTTGTGCTGAAGACCTGCAAAGATGTTCAGCTTCATATATTTCATCATATTTCACACATACCATCATCTGTGTAATTGATGCATTGATGTTTCTTTATATGAAAGCCGCATGCAGTAGGAGTCACATCATCGAGGCACACACAACTCATTCTATTTGGCATGTGTCTTAAATCTAGTCGTGAGGCAAGTCGTGGCAAGTGGAGCAACCTAATAGAGCAATGGCCTCCACCCAACTAGCAATGGCCTCGAACCCAATAGAGATGGCCTCCAACCTAGTAGTGATGGCCTCCACCCTACTAGCGATGTTCCACATGTTTATGTTCTTCATTTGACACTGGCCTGCATGAAGATTGTGATGCAAATGCCGGTTCCCACAGAGACATACCACGTCACGTTCAACTCATCAAATTGGCCGGAGCCAACTTGAAGCACACGAAGAAACTGAAGGACTGGAGGCAATTCCAGAGACGCATTCACCAGAAGAACCAGAAGTGCTGTGTTCACCATCTGCGCCAGGAACAGCTTCCAGAACTGACTTAGTGTGACTTCGGTCACCGTGCAGTGCCTTTCAAAGGCGACCAGGTACTCGTAGATCAACAAAAGCACTTGATTGATCACCAGCACGGCTAGGGCAGCACCAACGACCTTCCCGACCACTGCAGCATTGTTGATGATCCAGGCCTCACAAATCTGCTTTTCTTGGGTGTCGTAGGGCGGAAATGCAAAGCCTGGACCCTGGCTGAGGGCTTGTTGCTGGCAAAAGCAATTGATGATTGGATTCAGGACTCTCTCCTCAGAACCTGCAGCAATACTCTCCCATCTGGCCTTAGCCACATCTGCAGTGATTTCATTTGAGCATGACATGTCCGCTGCCACCTTGTTGTCCGTCGAGGTCCAGGCTGTGTTCTGAGTGTCTGGGGACAACGTATTGAGGTACATCGGTGCACAATTTTCTTCAACTTTCCAACATGATCGGTTTTCAGGTGCTGGAGGTGCTGTAGGGCATCCAAACAGTTGCACTTCATCGGGTTTGATACTGGGAGGAAACGTCGCGTGCCAGCATTGCACTTGTTGTTTGCTCTCAAACTCAAAGCCGATCCAATCTGTATGTGCAGATGCGTTGGCTTCACTCCCACCACATGTGCTAGCATACTGAGACCTCAAGGGTGCCGAAGAACAAGGTGATGTCCAATTGTTTGCACAACCACTTCCCCAGTCGTAGTTGGTGTAATCGTTGAACTGGTCAAAGAGCTTCACCGTCTGCCAGCTGTTGGATGTATCCCCATTGCTGGAGCACAAACGGTCCGAAAACATCTCCACGTCACAGAATCCCAGGCAGGTGTTGGTGTCAGGGGTGGACTTCACCACCCAAACCAAGTGCTCATTGACGCTGGCCAGAGTGGATTTGGATAAGGACTGGAAGAAAACCAAGGCTGCAGAGCAAAGGATGAGGAAAACGAAGGTGAGCAAGATCACGAAACACATGCGGCACCAGCGTTTCCAGGAAGCGAAATCCAAGTTCTCCCAGTAGAGGTCACTCGGCTCACAAGCTTCATGGAGCAACAAAGCGGAACCTTCAAAACGCAGGTCTTTGTTCTGGCAGCATCGGAACAAGAAGAATCTGCTGAAGCGATAGTGGTGTAAAACCTGTTCCTTGTAGCTCGCTTTGGAGAATGTCACAAAGGCACGAACAACGCCACGTTGTTCATCACTCATTGCTGCTTGGGTGGCGATGCTGCGTTCAAGCCGCTTCATCTGCATATACTTCTTGATGGACTTCTTCTCCAATTTTGCGTGTGCTTTCTTGCTTGCATCATCTTCCTTCCCTTCCAACTCCTTCAGAGCAAACGCTGCAAACATCAACAAACAAGCAACGCAAACTCCTGGAAAAAGAATCGAAGCACTGGAAGAATATGAGATGCTCAGAGTAAAGGGGTGGAAACAAAATGCAACGAAGTTCCCCTGCTGAAACTCAGAACTCAGGCTCTCATAAAAGGAAACACACTTAGACAATGGGTTTGCAGTTACCTCAATTCCCCGAGGAAAGGAATGGCTCAACGGCAAGGTGATGAGGTCAGCTCATTTGG